GGGCAATTGATAGAAATTTCCTACACTGCTTAGTCTTTACTTCTGGAACATAGAATAATAGTTTCGATTTCACAGTTTGGATGAGGCCTAAGTCAACTACCTGGCCTGTAGGGAGTGCTAAATAACTGGTAGCTATTCCTTTATTGAGTTGATAAAATGAAAGGTAAATGATCTGCAGAATATCATGATTAGCGAAGGGATCATGGAAAGGGAAGTTGGGGACTGATGTGGCATGAAGGAGGAGGGGTGGGGCCTTCAGTAGGCACTGAGATGGCAAAATGTGTCTCCTCTGTGGGCCTTTTCCTCCTGCTCTCAGGATGGTGGAGCTTTCTTGTGCACAAGATGGACAGGCACAGCTGTCAATCACGCGGGATGGTGGCATTCAGGAAGCCAGGCTGAGGGGAGCTCAAAGGACATAGAACAGAGGCTGTTACATACAAGATAGGAACATACCGGAAGGGCTGCCCCCCTGCACACTGGGGTGCTGAGGTCCCTGAGTCTACCTAACAGCATGCTTCGGTCAGGAATGGCTACTGTGGACCCCTTTTGAGAACAGAAATGGAAAGTCTTAGACACAGAGGCATTCCTAGTATAATTGCTACAAAGTGGTTTTGAAAAATTCAGCATAAGGTCAATTTTTCAACACAAACTTATTGTTTACTTACCGTGTTACTTAAGTGCTGATGTAGCACTTAGAAAATACATGGGAACTCTATTCTGCCCAGCAGCCTTTTATTTTTTTTTTATAATAAATTTTATTTTTGTAATACCCATACAATTGCAACCCCCTTATTTTGACCCCAATCCCTCCCTCCCGCCCTCTACCCCCCATAGAGTGTCTCTGGTTCATAGTTTTTTGTTGATTTTGATTTTCACTTTCTTATAGTTATTCATTTTCCTGGTCCCTTATTTAAGTTTTCTAGATTCCTGCTATGAGTGAGACCATCCGGTATTTTTCTTTTTCTTTCTGGCTTATTTCGCTGAGCATGATCCCTTCCAGCGCCATCCATGTTGCTGCAAATTGCATGTGTTTATCTTTTTTGAATGCTGAGTAATATTCCATGGTATATATGTACCACATCTTCTTGATCCAGTCATCTATTTTTGGGCATTTGGGCTGTTTCCAAAGCTTAGCTATTGTAAATAGTGCTGCTATAAACATAGGGGTGCAGGTGTTCTTTGGAATGGATGTTTCTGTGTCCTTTGGGTAAATACCTAGGAGTGGAATTGCTGGATCATATGGAAGCTCTATGTTTAGTAGGTCCAGAAATCTCCACACAGCTCTCCATAGTGGTTGGACCAGTTTGCACTCCCACCAGCAGTGCAGCAGAGTTCCTTTTCTCCACACCCTTGCCAACATTTGTTGTTGCTAGTTTTTTTAATATGTGCCATTCTCACTGGTGTAAGATGGTATCTCATGGTAGTTTTGATTTGCATTTCCCTGATTACAAGTGATGTTGAACATTTTTTCATATGCCTGTTGGCCATGTGCATTTCCTCTTCAAGAAGTTTCTTTTTAGCTCTTCTGACCATTTTTTGACTGGATTATTTTCTTCGTTGTTGTTGAGTCTCATCAGCTCTTTGCAGATTTTTGTGATAAATGGACGACTCCAGCAAACTACCCGAAGAAGAAAATCACCAGTAGCCTTTTATGTAGCAACTACTATTACTCCCATTTTACAAGTATGGAAACTGAGGTATATAGACATTCAGTCATTATTCAGAGAGCATAGTTAATAAGTAGCAAGCCGGGGGCCCTCCCTGGTGGCACAAGGGGTTAAGCACCCCACTATGAAACAATCTGTAGCCTCTGCAGCACAAATTCAATCCCAGGTGGCCAGGGAGCAACACACATGGCTCAGCAGACCTCTCCTGACTTGCCCCACATGGCGCAGCAGACCTCTCCTGACTCGCCCGCTGCTCCCCTCAGCAGTGTACTTTGGTCAATCTGCCTGTTCTGTTCCCCACTCTGTTTCTGGTGAATCCTCTCACCCCCCACATCTCTGGCCTGTACCCCAGCTCTTGTATGCATAAATAAATTAATCTTTTTTTAAAAAAATGTAACAAGCCAGGAAGTGGTTTTTAGCACCCCTGCATTAGGTCCTTTCAGTGGAGAAACATTGCTCAAGCCTGCTTTTAGGAGCAAGTGGTACCTGGCCCGGAAGGTCAGAAACCTGTGCAGAGAAGGATTTGCACACAGACCCCAGGATAAGAGGGAGGGGACAGCTTCTGACTGGTAGAAAGAGAGACTTCTCCCTGACCCACTGGTTGAACAGTCACAGAGGATTTCCAAGATTCTAGGGTGGGCTCGCTTCAGAGCCATTTAACAGCTAGGGAAAGAAAGGACAAATTTCTCTTTTTTTCTCTCACCAACAGGATATGATTTTGCCAAATGAATATTAAGTGAACCATGGTGAGCTGGATCCAGCCAGCTGATACCAAGTTCACAGCTTAATAGAGAAGTTATTTCTCTGTTTTCTGTTCTTCAGGGTGCAAAACTGAGCTGTGAGCATCTTCCACCTGGGATAGTTAGAAAGCCATTACTTAGGATAGAGATTAGCCAGTGAAATACTACTGTTGGACTTGAGGCTGCCAGCATTGAACTGCTGGGTGCTCCATCCCCACACGTAGAACAAATAGTCTGTCATGGCGCTCTGGGAACGGAAATTCACAGCCCACCCTGGGCCTGCTTCAGATTGGTGTTCTCTTTTCTCTCTGCCCCTGAGGGCCAGCTCCAGTGACTATTTCCTCCTGCACTGATATTTTTAATCTCCAAATTATTGTTTACCACTTTAATGGTAAATGAAATTCTTTTTTAGGGGGTATGAAATGATCCGTAAATATTTCACCTTCTCTGGATCCTCCCCAAGGGATCCCCTTAGCCTCTCCCCACCGGAGCTGCAGGTGGAAGGGGAAATGCCTTTTTCCATCTCCCCCTGACTCAGGCTCTGCGGCACTGGCTCTCCTTGGCCATCCTCATGAGTTTCTCCCGCGAGCAGCAAGAGGCGGAATACTCTTCCTCACACTTGCAGGGAATCCAGAAGCAGCTTAAAGCCCAGGCCTTGCTTCTGCTGGAGCCCGCAGAGCCTGTCAAGGCTTGGAGCAGGACATCAGACCTCGGGTGCCCCTGGTTCTGTCATCAGGATTGGGTCAGGGAGGAGGGGGGAGAGCTAACCTGGATCTCATGGAGAGCTTCTTGGTTTCATTTCTACTTCCTCATATCTGGAACGCCGAATCCTCTTGATTTCTGTTCTCTAAACTATCTTCGTTTTTGAAAATTAAGGATGTGGAGTGTACTTCCCAGAGTCTAAGGGAAATTCTCTTTTTTGACCTGGTGTTAGTTATGTGAGCCTGTTCTTAAGGAGGTTTTGGGGTCATACACTTGGAATTTGTGCACTTCTGGTCTGTATATTTTACCTCAACAAGTATGAAGATTTCATGATTTACTATGAGAGGCCTTATCATTTCATCTGTTACCAAGAAAGAACAAAAGAAATAATGCAAGAAGAGGCTCATCTATTTTAGCCGAAGTGAAAATGGGGATATCAAGGTGAAAGCAGGAGCTCACCCAATCATCTTACTTATTCTAAAGAAGCAAAGATGTTTGTGAATTTTAGTAGAGTTCTACAGTATGGAAAAATTGGAAATGCTGGTTATAGTTAAATAAGTGATGACACCACCAAAAATGAAATGCTATTTTGCCATTAAAAAGTTTGGTATCGGGCCTCCCTGGTGGTGCAGCGGTTGAACGCTGGGTTGCGAAGATGGCCGCAGCCTCTGTACCGCTGGTTCGATCCCCGGCTGCTCCCCGGCCACCGGAGGAGGGTCCCACATGGCGTGCAGACCTCTCCTGCCGCCCGCTGCTCCCCTCAGCAGTGTACTTCGGTCCTTCTGCCTGCTCTGCTCCCCGCTCTGGCTCTGGTGAATTCTCTCACCCTCCCGTGACTCTGACTGTACCCAGTGCTTGTATGTATAAATCAATCAATCAATCATCAATAAATAAATCTTTAAAAAAAAAAAAGTTTGGTATAGGGCCTCCCCTGTAGCGCAGGTGGTTGAGCGCTGCACTGTGAGACTGTCCGCAGCCTCTGCAGCACCAGTTCTATCCCGCCGGCCGGTGAGTGTCCCACATGGCGCGGCAGACCTCTCCTGTTGCGCCCACTGCTCCCCTCAGCAGTGTATTTCATCAGTCTGCCTGTTCTGTTCCCCGCTCTGTCCCTGGTGAATCCTCTCACCCTCCTGCACATTCTGGGCTATACACTGGTTCTTGTATAAGTAAATAAATAAATCGTAAAAAAAAAAAATTGGTATATTGAGCCTCCCTGGTGGCGCAGTGGGTTGAGCGCAGCGCCTTGAAGCTGTCTAGAGCCTCTGCAGCACCGGTTTGATTCTGGCCAGCCATGGAGATTCCCACATAGCGTGGCAGACCTCTCCTGTCCTGCCTGCTTCCCTCAACAGTGGGTTTTGGTCATCCTGCCTGTTCTGCTCCCTGCTATCTCTGGTGAATTCTCTCACCCTCCTGCGCCTCGGGCCTGTAACCCAGTGCATGTATAAATAAATAAATCTTAAAAAAAAAATTTGCTGTAAATGTTTCTTTTCTTTTTTTTTTTTTATAGAGGCATGTTTTTCATTTATTTATTTGTTTGTTTGTTTTGTTTATACATGCACTGGGTACAGTCAGAAGGACGGGAGGGTGAGAGAATTCACCAGACCAAGAGCGGGGAGCAGAGCAGGCAGAAGGACCGAAGGACACTGCTGAGGGGAGCAGCGGGCGGCAGGAGAGGTCTGCGCACCATGTGGGACCCTTCTCCGGTGGCCGGGGAGCAGCTGGGGATTGAACCGGCGCTGCAGAGGCTGCAGGCAGCTTCGCAACCCAGCGCTCAACCACTGCGCCACAGGGGAGGCCCTGTAAATGTTTCTTAAAGCTATGTGTACAAGCAAACTACAATCCCATTTTTTTTTTTTAAAGCAAATTATATAGTTTACATACAAGTCTAGAAAATAATCAGGAGGCATGTACAACATAATATTAACAAAGGGTTATACCTGAGGTAAAGAAATATTGCTGATTATTATTTCCTTGTGGGGTTTTTTTCCCCATGAGTTTGCATTTCTCTACGACACACTAAGACAGGAAATGTATGTGCAGGGCAGCAGTTTGGGTTCTGAGCCTCCTCCTCTGCTAGTTGAGGGGAGGCCAGGAGTTTCCTGGCAGCTCTTGAACAACTCTGTCTTTCCAAACTGTAAAAAGTCATCCAGAAGCATGTTCAAATATGGTATCTCAAGTTTAGAGATTCAAGAGGCCTCCGCTCAGTTTCACTGACGCACAAAGCACATTTGTAAAGGGGTGGCGTCTTCTTTCACCTGGGCTGCTCTGCAATGGGAGGGCTGGGGGAGCAATATCATCCACTGAGGGGTTCTACAGAGGTTTCTTTTTGAGGTGGAATGATTCCTTTTCCAGGAGTTCACCCACTCCGGTTTATTTGAGGAATTCCCGCTGTCTATATAATTTTACACTTGATGATGAAAAAGTCTGATGCTATTTGGTTTACATTACAGAACTCTGGGAAGGGCAGAAGATCTCTTGCCTATTTCATCCCCTCCTCAGAGCTCTGAGCACAGAAAATGTCTATCATAGGTGTTGGAGAAGTTGCTTGTTCACCTGCGGTGTGAGACACAGCGCCCCAAGAGGCCACAGAGGCCTCTGTGAGAAAGACCTGAATGCTGTGGAGGACCCCCCTGAGCCTTGCTGTGACCCTGATCAAGCTGCTGCCCAGAGCTGAACTTCAGTCTCTCTTGCAAAATGGGATGGGCAGAGGTTTGGACTGAGTGGGTGCTTAGGCCTCCTCTAGCTCTAGCAGTCTGGTTCTGAGAACATGGCTTGCGGTTGCCCACCTTCACCCTGGTTGATGTGTGCAGAACGGAATGATAGCTCTTGTGATATACTGTAGACATTGTATAGTCTTGTTTTGTGTCAACTAAAGGAAACACATAAAAAAGTAGTCTTCCCACCCCACCCCATGAAAATATAATGAGAATGACACATAAGGAGGAGACCGGGAAAAACCAGAAGCGAAGGATGGTTGCTCTCCTCGAAAGGAAAGTTCTCAGTTGAAGTCTTGTAGTAGCTGCGGCATGGGGCCTGTCGCCATGTTAGACAAGTCTCTGAGAAGGAATGGGCTTGCCCCCCTGTGTCAGTTGCGGCCTGAAAGAGAGGCAAGAGAGCGTCACTGCTGCAAGGGGCAATGGCAGGTGCTGCAGCATCCATCCAAGCCCATCCTCACCCCCAACCTCCCAGTCTCTAAAGGCTGGAGGGCTTGTCCCTGGGGGGCCAGCATGGGACTGGGTGAGTGACCTGCCAAGTACTTATTAATCCTCACAGCAACCCTAGGGGTAGACACTGAAAATGAGAGCTTAGAGGACATCTCCAAGGTTAACTCTCTAGGTGATGGAGTAACCATCTGAAGCCACTTAATCTAGCTTCTTGAGGACTTTGTCAAGGTCCCCAGGAGGTGGAGAGGAGGCTGATAATTAAAGTTCTCAGTTGACCTGATTTTCAGCCCCAGGAGAGGATCACAGGAGACGGGGAGGATGTGAGCAAACCACCACCATCAGCCAAGTGGAGCTACTTTATCTAAAAGTGCCTTTGACAACCTAAGTGTGATGTTACACTAAGACTGTGCACTTATTCAGCACTGGGCTACCACCTCCTAAATGTGCTAATTTGCACCCGATCTGCACCTGCTGTCCTCCAAAATCTCTCCATTGAATCTACTCTTGACGATCTCTGTGTCTGCTAGCTCATAGCTGTAGAGTCCTCACATATGTTTAACCTGCTGAGTTTTGCATTTCAGGGCAGAGCTTTATTCTCATTCATTTAAAAATGTGGATTTTCAGGCTTCCCTGGTGGCACAAGGAGTTAAGCACTGCACTACGAAGCAATCCGCAGCCTCTGAAGCACAAGTTTGATCCCCGGGCGGCCAGGGAGCAACCCACATGACGAGGCAGGTTCTCCTGTCTTGTCTGCTACTCCACTCAGCAGTGTATTTTGGTCAATGCCAGTTTTGTGTCCCACTCTGTCCCTGGTGAATCCACCCACCCCCTGCATCTCTGGCCTCTACCCCAGCTCTTGTACGCATAAATAAATAAATCTTTAAAAATAATAAATAAATAAAAAGGAGCATTTTCAGAAGATAAGGGATGATTCTCCTCCCAAAACTTTCAACTGCATCTGTTTTGAAAAGGATAAAAATCCTTTTTTTAAAGAGTCTTGGTATATCACCTGCACTATAAGCATTGGAAATTCTTTATATTTCTACTGTTAAAAGTAATGAGGTATAACCCAACCTTTTGCTGTCTCCAGGAAACACATTTAGCTACAAAAGATAAGGATGGAAAACAATCCTACAAGCAAATGGACCAAAAAAGAAAGCAGGAACAGCTATACTTATATCAGATAAAACAGATTTCAAACTCAAAAAGATAAAAAGAGACCCCAACAGTCACTACATTATGATCAAGGGGACAATACTTCAAGAAGAAATAACACTCATTAACATATACTCACCAAACGAAGGAGCACCAAAATAAATCAGACAACTGTTGTCATTTCTGAAAACAGACATCAGAGAAAACACATACGTAGTGGGAGACTTCAACACACCACTATCAACAATGGATAGATCAACAAGACAAAAAATAAGTAAAGAAACTAAGGCTCTAAATAAGGACCTAGAGCATTTGGGCTTAAGAGACATCTATAGAACACTAAACCCCCCAAAAATGGAGTACACATTTTTCTCAAGTGCACACGGATCATTCTCCAGGATCGATCACATACTGGGGCACAAGACAATCATCAACAGATACAACCAAGATTGAAATCATACCAACCATCTTTTCTGACCATGAAGGCATCAAACTAGAAATAAACCATAAAAAGAAGGCAAGGAACTCTCCTACCTCATGGGGATTAAAAACCACACTACTGGAAGACCACTGGACTAATGAGGAGATCGAAGAAGAAATTAAAAAATTCTTTGAATTGAATGACAAGGAGGACACCAATATCCTAAATGTATGGGATGCAGCAAAAGCAGTAATAAGAGGAAAATATATAGCAATAGAAGCTCACATCAAGAAACAAGAAAGAACTCAAAGAAACAACCTAATCTCGAAGCTCAAAGATCTAGAAAAAGAACAACAAAAAACCCCCAAAACCAGTAGAAGAAAAGAAATAATAAAAACCAAAGCAGAAGTAAATGACATTGAAACTAAAAAAACAATCCAAAAGATCAATGAAACCAAGAGCTGGTTCTTCGAAAAAATCAATAAAATAGACAAACCCCTAGCAAGCTCACAAAGGAAAAAAGGGAGAAAGCACAAATAAACACGATCATCAATGAAAGAGGAGAAATCACAACAGACACAGCAGAAATCAAAAGAATAATCAGTAACTACTATGAACAGTTATATGGAAACAAGTTCAACAATCTAGAGGAGATGGACAAATTCCTACAACTCTACAATCACCCAAAGCTAGATAAAGAAGAAATAGAACACCTAAACAGACCAATTACAAGCAGCAAAATTGAAATGATAATCAAAAACCTCCCCAAAAACAAAAGCTCAGGACCTGATGGATTTACAAATGAATTCTACCAAACATTCAGAGACGAATTAGTGCCTATTCTTCATAAACTCTTCCAAAAAATTGAGAAGGAAGGGACAATACCAAACACGTTCTATGAAGCCAACATTACACTAATACCAAAACCGAACAAGGACAACACGAAAAAGGAAAACTACAGGCCAATCTCCCTAATGAACACTGATGCAAAAATCCCCAATAAAATTTTAGCTATCAGAATCCAACAATGTATCCATAAGATAATTCACCACGACCAAGTAGGATTCATTCCAGGGACATAAGGATGGTTCAACATCCGAAAATCAATCAACGTTATCCAATACATCAACAAAAAGAAATACAAAAGCCATATGATAATATCAATAGATGCTGAGAAAGCTTTCAACAAAGTGCAACACCCATTCATGATAAAAGCCCTTGAAATTCTTGGGATACAAGGACCATACCTCAACATCATAAAGGCCATATATGACAAGCCAACAGCCAGTATCCTTCTCAATGGTGAAAAGCTGAAAGCAATTCCATTAAGATCTGGAACAAGACAAGGATGTCCACTCTCACCACTACTTTTCAATATAATACTGGAAGTCCTAGCCAGAGCAATAAGACAAGAGAAAGACATACAAGGAATCCAAATAGGAAAAGAAGAAGTCAAACTATCACTATTTGCAGATGATATGATAATATACATAAAGAACTCCAAAAACTCCACAGAAAAACTAATTCAGCTCATCAATCAGTTCAGTAAAGTGGCAGGATACAAAATCAACACGCAAAAGTCAGTAGCCTTCCTATACACAAACAATAAATCTGAAGAAGAAGAAATTTTAAAAAATCCCTTTTATCATCAAAACAAAAAAAAAATCAAATATTTGGGAATAAATCTAACAAAAGAGGTTAAGGGCCTATACAAAGAAAACTATAAAACACTGTTAAAAGAAATAGAAGAAGACACAAAGAAATGGAAAGACATCCCCTGCTCATGGATTGGAAGAATAAACATTATTAAAATGGCCATCCTACCAAAAGCAATATACAGATTCAATGCTATTCCAATCAAAATTTCAATGTCATTCTTCAAAGAAATAGAACAATTATTGATGAAATTCATATGGAATCACAAAAAACCCCGAATAGCCAAAGCTCTCCTGAAAAAAAAAGAAAGGAATGGAGGCATCACACTCCCAGACTTCAAACTATACTACAAAGCCATAATCATCAAAACTGCATGGTATTGGAACAAGAACAGACATACAGACCAATGGAATCAAATAGAAAATCCAGAAATAAACCCACAGATTTATGGTCAACTAATCTTTGACAAAGGAGCAAAAGACTATGCATTGGAGCAAAGAAAGTTTGTTCAATAAATGGTGCTGGGAAAACTGGGTCGCTACATGCAAAAGAATGAAGCTTGACCACTACCTCACACCATACACAAAAATCAACTCAAATTGGATTAAAGAACTAGACATAAGACCTGAAACCATACAATACATAGAAGGAAATATAGGCGAAACAGTGTGTGATATTCACATCAAAGACATCTTTACAGACACATCACCCAAAGCAGTGATAGTGAAGGCAAAGATAAACAGCTGGGACTACATCAAATTAAAGAGTTTCTGCACAGCAAAAGAGACAATAACAAAAACAAAGAGAAACCCCACCAACTGGGAGAACATTTTTGCATACAACACTAATGATAAAGGACTGATCACAAAAATCTACAAAGAGCTGATGAGACTCAACAACAACAAAGAAAATAATCCTGTCAAAAAATGGGCAGAAGAGCTAAAAAGAAACTTCTCTGAAGAGGAAATGCAAATGGCCAACAGACATATGAAAAAATGTTCAATATCACTTGTAATCAGGGAAATGCAAATCAAAACTACAATGAGATACCATCTTACACCAGTGAGAATGGCACATATTAAAAAAACTAGCAACAACAAATGTTGGCGAGGGTGTGGAGAAAAAGGAACTCTTCTGCCCTGTTGGTGGGAGTGCAAACTGGTCCAGCCACTATGGAGAGCTGTGTGGAGATTTCTGGACCTACTAAACATAGACCTTCCATATGATCCAGCAATTCCACTCCTAGGTATTTACCCAAAGGACACAGAAACATCCATTCCAAAGAACACCTGCACCCCTATGTTTATAGCAGCACTGTTTACAATAGCTAAGCTTTGGAAACAACCCAAATGCCCAAAAATAGATGACTGGATCAAGAAGATGTGGTACATATATACCATGGAATATTACTCAGCATTCAAAAAAGATAAGCACATGCAATTTGCAGCAACATGGATGGTGCTGGAAGGGATCATACTCAGCGAAATAAGCCAGAAAGAAAAAGAAAAATACCAGATGGTCTCACTCATAGCAGGAATCTAGAAAACTTAAATAAGGGACCAGGAAAATGAATAACTATAAGAAAGTGAAAATCAAAATCAACAAAAAACTATGAACCAGAGACACTCTATGGGGGGTAGGGGGCAGGCAGGGAGGGATTGGGGTCAAAATAAGGGGGTTGCAATTGTATTGGGAATATAAAAATAAAATTTATTATAAAATAAATAAATAAATACAAAAAAAATAATGAGGTATAAGATGTTGAATTTGGATTCTTGCAGAAAATATCAAGGACTGTGAAATACAAACCCTTGGTATAAGGTTTGAAATATTTTCATTTACTGAAAGGAACTAGTGAACACAGTTGTTTATCCTTAACACCCCCACCCCTATTCAACTCTGCCCCCATCATAGGAAGGAGCCTGCAGCTCTGCTCCTCAGGCAAGTCACTAAATGTCCTAAGCTTCAGTTTTCTCATCTGTAAATTGGTTGTCGCAGTAATTACTTTAAAGATTGCTATGAAACTTGAAATTAAAAAACAAACTACATACTCTTCTGCTGCAGCAGCCATCACTGTGTGCTACCCCATAGCCGTGGTCTCAACAAGGGCCATAAGGTGACCAAGAACTCAGCAAGGTGAGATATAGCCGCTGCCGCAGGCAGGCACCTCACCAAGGTCTTGGGGAACATGCTCAGGAAGGTGTGCGACCTGCCATGGAGTCACTCAAGGTCTCCAAAGACAAGTGGGAATCAAGTTCACCATGAAAAGTTTTGGAACACACATTCATGCCAAGAGGAAGAGAAGGCAGTTGAGCAAGGCAGCTGCCAAGATAGGCTGGACCGCTCCCTGTTCCATATGCACGCATAAAATCTTAAAAAATATATACATATGGCAAGTCACTGATACTATGCCAGCTTTCATCAAAGGGTGGTGGTTTGTATCTGTAATCTGATATCCTGCCCTCTGTGCCTCCCTGCCTGATGTCAGAGCCAGTGATCTATGATGTCGTGGTCCATGGTGTCTACCACTGTGTTGCTATAAGGATTAGACATCCTGAGTGTGACCCCACACACACACACATTAGTGTGAGGCTAGAATAGGACTGTTAGATGCGAACATCTAACAAGGTTAGATACCTCTCCCTAAGTACTGTGGAAGTACTGTGGAGAGGAGATGGAGAATGTGCTGTCTCTTCCAGATACTTTGCCGCACCCCCCACCCCAGCCCCACCATCTGGATGGTTTTTCCAGAACCATCATAGGCTGGATTGGATGAGGGAGTTACTAGAGCTACCTGCTCCTGCCTCTGGTCCCCTTTCTTTCACTCTGCTCCTTGGCAGCAATTCAAGGTCCTGCACTGATTCAGGGAAATGAGGGACTGAGCCATTACTTTTTTAGGCGATAAAAGATCATCTTTCTAGGCCAAGCAGGGAAAAAAATGTTCTCTTAAGAAAACATCAAAACCTAGCTGGAATCATCCAGATAAAGAGACCTCAGGTCTTTCGAGGAGCTACAATGAATTGGGGGAATCCTTCAGATGGGTTTTTTTTGTTATGAGGCCAAATAAAATGGACAATTACTAAAGTCACATGGCTCCCCCATCAGCCAGGCTGGGCATTCATTTTCTCCACGTGGCCAACCTTCGTCTTCTCTTGTCTCCAGCCCTATGCTGACTTCCACCCCCAGGACTCCGCTGCCATTGCCTTTCTCAGGAAGGTCCCCAATATTTGTTGCTGGGGAAGCCAGGATCTGTGCCCAGGGCTTATAAGAGACTCACCTGGGACATTTGCAAAAACCACGTTTTCGATACCCTGAATAAGGAAAAACAGAGGGGTAAGTTGACTGCCTCCAACACTCCTATCGTCCCCACGTGGGATTTTCCCTCCCCCTTCCCTACTTCTTTAGGATTGTAACTCTTGAGACCCCAGCTGAGGGCTTCTTTTCCATTCTTCTCATCAATTTAAGAAACACTGCAAATGCAGACGTAGGTGAAGGTGGGTTAGTGCACCTCCCGCATGGTACCACAGTAGGGTTTCCTGGAAGGTGACTCTCACTCTTGGTGGCTTCCACTCAACCCTTCACCCTATGGGGAATGTTCCCAGGCCCACGATGGCCCCCTCTCCCTGGGGGAGTTTGTGATAAGACTGGACCTGTGTGCTTGCTTAGAGCTTCCTCTGCTGCAGCTCCTGGCATAGGGAGCTGTCGTCCTAAAAACCTCCCAGAGAATGGAAAGAGGGGAGAGGAGGATTTTTCTCAGTTTTATCTCTTGGAAAGAAATGGCCTGTACCTAGTAGCCCTGCGGTGCAGCTTAGCATCCCAGAAATTTCAACCCCATCACCCCACCTCTGCTGCCTGGAGTCAGCAGCTGAAAGGACAGTTGAGGGGCAAATGGTGCCCAGAGTGATTTCCTAGGACTTACTGTTGTTACAGGTGATGACGGCGATCAGTGACAGGAGAAGGAGCGCACAAGCCCCAGCCAGGGGCGCCCAGATGTAGATATCACAGGAGAAGTCCAGCCCCTTTGTATTCACTGAAGAAACCCGAAGAGGCCAACATTCAGGAATGATGGGGGATCCCCTCATCCTATCCCGCCAGGCCAGCCCCATCAGGTCTCCTGGCTCAGGGTCTTACTTGCCCCACCACTAGGAGAGCCCTCCACTCCATGTCCATATTAGAGGTGGCCCTGGCTGGGGCTCTCCCCAAGGTCCCTACCGGCCCTGGCCTCCCCCATCCAGGCCCACCTCGTGCCTCACCATGGCCCCCCGCAGACGGCCGGCACCCCTCTGGACGCAGAGTCACGGGTTGAGACGCGTTGGTGGGCGCCTGCGTGGGTGGTGGAGGCCGCACCGTGGTGGTGGTGGGCTTAGCTGCGGGAGCAACAAGAGCGCGAGCTTGGGGACTGGACAGGGCGGCGGACGCGCCTTTGCCTGAGTGGCGGCTTCTGGGCTTTCCGTTGCTGGAGCGACACCCACCGCCCGCGCCCATCTGCGCCCCGGGGCGGGGGAGACGGGGTGGACACGCAATGGCCTCTCCAGGCGGAGGAAGGCGTCGAGCCTGCCGCGTGCCGCCCTGGGCTCTGCAGGGTGCACTCGCGCCTCCCACCCAAAAGCAGATCCATCTCCCCCCACTCACCCCTCCCCCCGGGCTCGACCTGCAAGCTTGTCTCAGGTCCACGTTTTACTGGTAGGAAACCCCGAGGCTCAGAGAATGGGGCCGTTCGCCCAGGGCCGCACAAGCCCTGGACATGCCAATCGCATCTAGGCTTCCCGCGGGGCGCTGAGGCTGGAAAGCAGCGCGTGCGTGTGATAAATGGTTTGAGGTGACCCCCAACCCCACGCCGAGCAGTCCCACACCACGGGTCCCGGGCCCGCACCTGGCAGGAAAACCGGCACGAAGGGACTGAAGTGTATTATCGCGTTCTGAATGGCCGCGCAGAAGTAGTAGCCTTGGTCCTTCTCCTGGAAGCGCTTCAGGGTGAGGGTGTAGCGGCTGCTACTGTCCTTTTTGCCGGATATCTGCTCGCGATCCACATCCTCCGCCCACTTGGGCGACATGCCAATGTACATTAGGAAGCGCGGACGGGAGGCGACTCCGCGTGCCTGGAAGAGCCAAGAGCAGCCAGACGGCGCGGACGGCAGCAGCACTTCGCAGCTCAGCTCCACGGTCTCCCCCGGGCTCGGGTGCACCTCCTGCTTCGACATTCGGAACACCTCTGCCGCGGCGGCGTCTGAGGGGGCCGGGCAGGAGACTGAGCCGGGAGTGCCGCGCCCCGCGCGCCCCCACCCTCAGCTTCCCCCAGAAGGGCGAACTCACGGAGCAGCAGGGCCAGGAGCAGGGCGGTGGCCGGGGGTGCCATGGCGCGCGCCCGGGGAGGCGGGTCGGACGCCCGCGGAGCGCTCCGGAGTCGGTGGCACCGGGAGGCTGGGCCCTTGGCGTCCTGGCGGTGGAGCCCGATTTCGGGTTTGAGGATGTGATGTCACTTCAACTGGCGAGAAGAGAGTCCCCTCCTTCCGCGGTTGCCGTCTTCCCATCTACATGGTTTAGGGGATGGGGCCCCTGAGTGGGGGCCCTGGAGCAGCCTTGCCGGGCTGTGGGGGAAGCTGAGATGGGCGGGCTTGAGGAGGAGGGAGACAGACTTGGAAATGACCCCTGGAAATGTCTCCCAGAGAGTGGAGATTTCAAGAAGAGGGGGTGAGAGCCGGCAGGAAAGCAGAGGGGAATGTCCACCTGCTGTGCCTTCACTCAAAGTGTCTCTAGCATTGTCGCCTGGCTTTTCGTCTGCAAAATGGCATGAGGACTGAGAAGGAAGAGGAGTTGGTGACTTTCCCACTTCTTGGGACCCAGGACAGGGTAGTTGGGGGTGTTCACCCAAGAAAAATCGTCTGCCTTCTCTGAGAACTCTTCAGAGGGGCAGCAGCGTCCCAAGCCCGGTAGGGGACAGGCTAACCTCTGCTGACTGCGTGCTTGGGGCCTGCTCCTACTGGCTAAGCCTGAGCACACAGCCCCATTCTTTTTGGGGACCTTGCAAAAACCTCCACCTGTCTCTCCAGTGACCCAGTCCTGGGCTGTCCTGCTGTGATCATTATTCTTGTAAAGGGGGCCTGAGGTGTCACTCCTGCATGCCCCCTAGACCAGCAGGACCAGATGGAAGATCTAGTCTGGCTTGACTCAAAGGCTTTGTGTGCTGGCTCCTTCCAGTCTCTGTCCACCCCCTTCCCCGCCTGTACCCCAGCCTGAATCCACACAAGGCTTGAGGTTATCTAAACTCTGGGTTCCTGCTGCTTCTGCGCTCCCTTTTTCTGGATGCCATTCTGTTAACCCAGAGGCCAGCTCTGGTGCTGTAATTCTGGTGCTGAAACTCATTTCTCTGTATTCTCAGCTCTGGGTGCCTAGCAGGGACATTTGCAAGGACTGGGTGAATGCTCAGGTAGAGACAGTTTTTCCTCTCTGGCACACACTTCCCCTACCTTTTTTTTTTTTTTTTTTAAAGATTTATTCATTTATGCATACAAGAACTGGGGTATAGGTCAGAGGTGCAGGGGTGAGAGGATTCACCCAGAGATAGCCTGGGGAACAGAACAGGCAGATCTACTGACATACACTGCTGAGGGGAGCAGAGAGTGAGAGAGGAGAGGTCTGCTGCACCATGTGGGTAGGGTTTGAACTTGTGCTGCAGAGGCTGAGGATAGCCTCACAGTGCTGTGCTTAACCCATTGCGCCACCAGGGCCTCCCCTGGTGGCGCAGCGGTTGAGTGCTGGGCTGTGAAGCTGCCAGAAGCCTCTGCAGTGCCTGTTCTATCCCAGGCCACCAGGCAACTGTCCCACAAGGCCCACAGACCTCTCCTGCCACACCCACCTCTCCTGCTGCACCCACCTCTCCTGCCCAGCCAACTGCTCCCCTCAGCAGTGTATTTCAGTCAGTCAGTCTGCCTGTTCTGCTCCCCACTCTGTCTCTGGTAAATCTTCTCACCCTCCCGCACTTCTGACTATACCCAGTGCTTGTATAAATAAATAAATAAATCTTTTAAAAAAATAAGGTGGAATATTTAACATTTTATCTTTAGAAGTGGTTCTTAATATATCTTTTAAATCAGTTGTACCTTCTTGAAAAACTTCAGATATTATGAAAATAATAGAATATAGGGAAATTCCCTGCCTCAACTCTCCTCACCATTACCACTGTCACACTGGAGTGTGTCCTTTGCAAGGTAGCTGTGCACAGAGGTTTATATGTGTTTTAGACACACGCAGTTATGCTCTGTATATATTTTTGCAACTTACGTTTCTTATCTAACAGAAGGAAAGCTTTTCATGTCAGCACATGTGGCTATTTTAGAGGGGTACATTTCATATGGGTGTCCCATATTTTAGGTTTCCTATTAATAGACATTTAAGCAGTTTCTCATTTTTTTGTAGTTACTAGCAGGGCTGAAGTACATGCAGTATCTGTACTGTTGAGCCCTTACTCCATACATGGAACATTTTCAAAACCTCAAAAGGAGGTTTTCCTTAAAACCCTTTGTAAAGATGGTTATGACCAAAGTACACAGAAATGCATCCCCTGGCATACAGAAGTGTGCATGTGTGTGTTTGCATGTGTCTGTGTGCCTGCCTGTGTAGACACAGTGCTGTCTCTTAATTCACATGAGTGAGGGTGACAAGAAGCAGCCAAGTCCAGATCATCGTTCCAGGCAGCAGTTCCCTATTCTGCTTTGTCTCTGCTCTCACTGCAGAAGGAGTGGCAAATGACCTTGCTGGCCCTGGGTGCAGTTAGGGGATGTGGTAGAGAGAATGACTGGTTAGGAAAGTATACCTTGCTGGTGGAGGAGCCATTGGAGTGGAACCTGAGCCAACCTGCAGGTATCTGGATCTTGGGAATCAGACCCCTGAGTATGATGATGCTCAGATTCTGGGATGCAATGCTTGAAAATAGAGTAGTCCCCCCTCAGTCTCCTGGGAGTGAGCTGCAGCTGGCTTGGAGGTCTTCCAGTCTTGTAGCTAAGAAAAGTGTCACCCATGGGGGTGGCAGCCCTTTTGTACAGATCATGAAAGAGAGTAGAGGGGGGATATCAAGGCAACATGTCAAACCCACCATCCTTGGTGGGCTCTGTGACCCCAATGATGTTTTTCTCAAAAGATGGCGATTCTCAATGTAATCACAAAGACATCCGCCCTGCAGCAGGCAGGAGAGCAGATGCAATTGAGCAAATTCTGGGGATGCTTGCATGCTTGAGGGCCAGGTGTACAGAAGGCCGGGTGGGGCCTGTCCATCACTGCCAGGTAAGATCCCACACTCCACAGTGTGGTACTCATATGGCATGGCATGAAGAAATGGGAGCAATTGCATGCCATCAAGCAAGCCCTTTGTTTTTAAAATATCCAGAGAGACAGGAAAGAAACTAGTTTTCATGTTAGATTTAAACAGGGCTGCGTTTCCCTCAAGGCCTTTGTTCTTAAAACATGGAAATAAATACCTTTAATTCAGAGTGCATAAGAGGCAAGGAAGTGGTAGACAACCGACCAGGGCTCTGTGCCCCAGCTTCTAAGATGCTGACTTCAGGGACAACCTAGAATCCTGCCTAGAAGTAGCCGGTGTCATTGTTCACTTGGACTATTGCAATGGTGTTCTAACTGTGCAGCACCCCCACATTTCTACTTTGGTCTTTTTCAATGTGACTGGTGCTCCTAGTCTCTTCCAGTGAGAATCTCATCCCATGAGGGCATCCTAGGGTCCTAATGTTGGTCCCAAGTACCAGCACTGGGTAATCTGGAATTCCGCCCTCCACACTTGGCCCTGTGGCCCCATGTCCATCCTCTCCTACCTGTCTTTCACTCCTCTTAGGCTTGGCTTCTCTCTGTTTTTCAAAGGGGCTTTGCTCCTTTCCTCCTCTGTTCCCTATTTAGTAAACTCCTCTTCTTCAAGACTCAGCTCAAGTATCTCATTGTTCAGAGCTCAGTCCCTTGCCCAGTCCCGCCCCCAGGCGGTATAGACATCTTCCTTTTTGGAGTCATTTAGATGGACTTCTCTGGACTGGAACATTTATTCTGTACAGCAATGATTTGTTTGCTCATCCAGTTTGATGAGCCAACCTTTGGTCCCTTGAGGAAGCGACCTTGTCTGGCTCCTGTTTATACTGGGGAGTCTAACAGAAGGTGTCACACACTTGGCCTTCAAGAAATCCTTGTTTGTAAAAGCTAAATGAAGGCAAAGCAGAGCACAGCAGGCCAGGGGAGGTAGAGACAGTCAAGTTCTGATAAGAATGTCTCTTTCAGGAAAAGCTTTATGGAGACTGGTTTGGCGATAAGGTAAACATTAGAGAGAATGTTGCATTTCACTTCTGGTCACGATGGTGCAGATACCATGCTTTACCACGTAGTAATAGTATATGACTGAAAGTAAAAGGAGGAGGAAGAGGAGCAGGTGGATGTACTCACAAGCAAGGAAAACATTCCTGTGACTGTAGTGGTAGAACCAGGGCAAAATCATGGCTTAGACTTGCTGGGGTGTGTTCTTGGGTCTGGGTTTGAGGGTGCTTTCTCATAGCAAAAGCACTGAGAGTTTGATTTCTTTGACTAACAGGCGCCTAAAACATTACACCCATGGAGAGGCTGGAGTCAGGCTGTTTCAATGAGGGCCGAGGTCAGGATTTCAATTGGTGAAAGGGCGGAGAAAGCAGTGCACACCCCCAGAGTCATGGGTCATATGAGGCTGCTTCCCTATAATGATGGGAGAGCAGGTCAGAAATGGAAGCTGCCTGATTCCCAGTGTCACCACTGGTTGGGAGCCCACAGCCACCAGTATAAGCCCTAGTTCTGACGGGGGACTCTGGAGAGTATGAAGCTCCCATAAAACCAGGAGGATGGAGTATAAAGAGAAGGAAGGTTTAAAAACTGCCATTCAGGATGATCCTATGCACATGTACAAAATACCCAAACTATATATATGGCTATTTAACTCAAATTAGAATGTGAATTCACTCTAAAAGAGAGGCAGACTATGGCACAATCTTAAAAGAGTTTATTAAATAAAGAGAACAAAGACATACAGAAAATGCAGACTTTAAACAAAAGCAGCTGAATAAGACAAACACCAAATGTTCTAGAAATGAGATGTAAACTATTATATACTCGATATTGGACATCATTGCTGCACCTCCCCCTGCAGTGACCCTTAGGGCTAATGGCTTTCGCCACGGTCCCTAGGTCCGGCTGGGCAAGGAACCAGCGGGCAGGGGGAGAACAGCAAAACTCCCTGAAGCAGGGGGAGAACAGCAAACCCCCCGAAGACATAGATAAGACGGAAGCCTGTTGAAAGATAATGACCCCAAGGAGCCACTACGTGAATGCTGACCACAC